CTGTAAATGATATCTAAGAAGGTAGTGATGGCAGGGATAGAGATGTCCTGGGAGTCTTTGAGTCAGAATAGAAGTTGACATGCTTCTTTCCTTTGTAGGATGCTTTGACTACAAAAGAAATTGGAAAATTAATAGTAAGTAGCTCTTTTTCCCATCTTCTGCCTTTTCTTTGAGTAATATACTTCTTGCAATGAAGCCTTCTCTGTATTATGACAACATTGACCCAAACACAAACTCACTTCATTTGGTTGTATGTGTGGACAAGGACGTCAAGAATGTTTTGCACTGAGGAAGATTGTATTAAAAAGAAAATGCAAGGAAGTGTTTCAGAACACAGTTCACCCATGTGTGCCTTTTGGGCTCTGTCAGTCCCTGTTCTGATAACAAATGCATGTATCTTATCTGTTGAATAAAGTGATTCATATATGTGATATCAAAGATGGTAGAGATGCCATCATTGGAGAAATCACGTGTGATGTCTTTTCAAAATAAAAGTGTTATCTTTTTTCCCCCTTATAGAATATAGGCAAACGTCCAATCAGTATTTTTGCACTAATTGTAAGTATACGGTTCTTCATAATTCTTTACTTTTTCTGAGTAATATTGTTCTTGCATCTGAAAAACACTCTGTTTGTTAATTCCCACGCCCAGAAAGCATCTTCAGAGACTCCACAGCAGAAACAGAGAAGACTGGGCCAAAACATTTCATCCGTTTTAACTTTTTTTTTTTTAAAGCAGCTTCAAATAGCACTACACCAAGTAGTCAAGGGAGAAACTTATATTTTGGAATTGTTGCAAGGGACATTTTTTGGATGAGGAGGGTTTCTCCAAAGTTACTTTACTGATTGTGGGTTTTGTTCTCTGCAAAATGGTAAATTGTTGACTCTAATGGTTTTTCTGTCAGATGCAATTTTCCTAGTGAGACATGTTTCCTCATTTCCCCTCCCAGGATTAGTTTTATCAGAATTTGTTTTGGAAAGCCAGCTTCCCTTTGTTCTCCTCGAAAAGGAATAATGCAGTTTCAAGATTCTGCTAATATATATTATACTTTCCCTGCAATCCCTGTTGTAGCCTCCCTGATCCTGCCTACCTCAAAGGTTGATGTGGCTCTACGTTCCTAGTCTGATGCTGTGAGGCCAATCACATCAGTATTCTCTGTGGCCTTCAAGAGTTCACCAGTTTATTTTAGTGGGCAGCAGTGGCCCAGGCAAGGCCCACACATATCATGCATTTGCCCAATTTATGACGGAACCCATAATGGTTTTTCATCCTCCTTTTAGTCAATCGGAAAAAAGATAACACCTATTATCAAGAAGGCCAATGGTGGCAAAGGAGTGCCAAAACTGATAGTAAGTAGATACACACTTAATTTGTCTCATTTCTTCTATGCTTTCTATGTTGTCTTCTTAGATGTGACCATAATAACTCTCTGGAGGCCCCCCCCCCCCCCCCCAATAGGATACATTGCCATACCATAAAGGTATGCTTTTGTTCCCATTTTAGAGTATATTCACCGCTGGTGGAGATGGAAACATGGTAAGTACGTTTTGTTTATTTTCTTTCCTTCATATTCTTCTTTGAACTGAACAAGCACCAATTTTATCTTTATTCCACCACCTAAAACACTGACATGTCTCGCTTTTAGTAAGAACTATGGGTTTTCTATTTGGGATGGCTAAAAAGCCATTCACATGCACTAGTATTCAGAGATGGAACAGTTGGAGAAGTCATCTTGTTATCATGAAGTTATCATGTGAGGCTCAGACTCAGATCCTCCATTTCCTTTGTAGGAAAATAGCAATCAGAAGTTGGAAAAAATTATGGTAAGTAGTTTGTTGTTTATCTTGTGCTCTTTCCTGGAGTAATCCTAGTCCTTAATATTCAATTTTCTGGAGGGTTAAAAACAACTGTATATCAACCTATGGATTCTTATTTGCACCAACACTCACCAACACCAATTCATAGATGCTGCCATGAATTTGAGCTTTTAAATTAAACTTATATCCTTCTGCATAGAGGAAGGGGCTATGGAGAGTTCTCTTTTCTAATGAAGTGTTTCTTAACCTTAGCAACCTTAAGATGTGTGGACTACAATGCCTGAATTCCCCAGCCGATAAAGGGAAGTTATTACAGCCTACACATCTTAAAGCATGCAGTCTGGGGAATTCTGGGAGTTGAAGTCCACATAGCTTAAAGTTGCCAAGGGTGAAAAATATATGTGGGAGTTTCTATCCCTAACGGTTGTGACTTATCTAATATTCCTGGCATCAGTTGCAATTTTGCTGGTAAAATGGATTTCATTCCCTCATTTTGAAGAGATTTACGGTAAGTCACATTTGCAAATCCAGGATGAGAGATTTGTTTCAAACGTTTCATGAAGTCACAGTCTTTAACCCAAGAGACATGTATGTCTGTTAAAGGACCTCTGTGAACAGGGAAGGGATTCATTTTTATATGCAATTCCAGAGATAGCCCTATTGGAGAAGTCATATATGTTGTCAGGTAAGAATTGAACTGATACCCTTTGTTTCCATTGTAGAATGCACTGAGTGAGGAACATACAATGAAAATGGTCGTAAGTAGCTCTTTGACCATCCTCTTTTTTCCATGGGAAATATCTTTCTTCCATGCGTTTAAGCTGACTGTTTCAGATTCAATCCCACCAAAATTTAGTAGATATACCATGGTTTCATATTTAGGAGAATTTTATGATGAAAGCTCAGATACTCACTCTTAGAAAATATTACACACTTCCACCCACCTCCAAAATCTGGGGAGTGTCTAGGGGTGTGTGGAGAACCAAAATAAGAGTTTTAGGACTCAGGATGATCTAAATCTATTTTTAACCTTTTTCCCTAGCAGAAAATGCTATGAATCTGAGCTGACATTCTGATGCTATTGAGGGATTTCAGTAGCCCCTTTTTCCTCATGTGGCTGCACTGAAAATCAAGAAGAGCAGTGTAGGTGGAGACATAAATACACTACACCTTTCAACTTTCTTGGAGGAGGAAAAGACACGGGGCCTAGGTGAAGCAGAATAAAAAACATTCCATCAAACACATATCTTGCATCTACAGGTAGTCCTGAACATACAACCACAATTGAGCCCAAAATTTATGTTGTTAAGTGAGAAATTTATTAAGTGAGTTTTGCTGCATTTTACAACTTGCCATATTTGTTAAGTGAATCACTGCAGTTATTAAATTAATAATGATAGTTAAGTGAACCTGGTTTATCTATTGGCTTTTCTTGTCAGAAGGTCGCAAAAGGCGATCACATGACCCAGGGACACTGAAACTGTCATAACTATGAATCAGTTGCCAAAGGGCTGAAGTTTGATCATGTGACCACAGGGATACTGCAATGGTCGTAAGTGTGAAAAATGGTCATATGTCACTTTTTCCAGGGATGTTGTAACTTGGAACGGTCACTAAATGAACTGTTGTAAGTCTAGTACTCCCTGTAGAGGTGTATAAGTAAAGTAAATCTAGAGTAAGGGATGAAATGTGGACATATAGGGCAATGTTCTGAAAAGGGTGATCCCAAGTGCCTTTTTGCTAAATATTTTTTTAGAATTCAAATTCAATTCAAATTCTTTTTTAGATTCGCTTTCTGAAAAAAGAATGGTTGTTTCCTAAGTGGAAGAGAGCAGCAAGTGATGTAAATGCCATCTAAGATGGTAGTGAGGGCATGGATGGAACGGTCATTGGTGTCTTCTATTAGGATAGAATTTGATGTGCTTGTTTCCTTTGTAGAACGCTTTGGAAGCAAATGAAGTTGAAAAATTAACGGTAAGTAGCTCTTTCTTCATCTTCTGCCTTTTTTTTTTGAGTCATATTCTTCTTCCCTGCAATGAAACACTGGCCCCAGACCCAGACCCACTTCTTTTGGTTCTATGTATGGACAAGGCTTTTCAGAACTGTCCCCAAAGGAGCATTTTTCCACTGGGGAAGACTGTTCTGAATAATTTCTTTCTCTCCTTATAATTTCTGACCCTTTTTGGTGTGACACACCTGTGTGGTCCAAATGAAGTTTTGTTGCTCAGTTGGTATAAATCGAGCTACCCACATGACTGCCCAGGTTTTATGACTTTTTTGGTGTGATTGTCATTAAGAGATGCCTCAGTCAGTAGGACCAGTTCTGCCATAAACCGGAATGCAGCTTTCAGAAATTTTTTTGAAAATGTGGTTGTAGAAGTTATGTCTTCTGTGATATGAAAGAAGCAGTGATTCCTTTTGTTTTGTTTGTAGGACTGCCTAGAACACGAGTGTACAACGGCTGATTCGGTGGTAAATACCTCTTTGTTTATCCTCTGTTGTTCCTTGTGAAATATTCTTGCTTCAAAATGTTGATATGGCTTCTCTGGTGATGTGAGACCATTTACATCGATATCCTCCATGGCCCTCAAGGCCTCCCCAGTTCATTTTAATGGACTGCAGTGGCCCAGGCAAGACCCACCCAGATATTTATGTCCTGCATTGGCACAACGTAGGTATGTAGGAATCCATAAAAGAGGATAATGTTTTTTCCTCCTTCCTTGTAGGATCTCATGCAGAAGATGTTAAATGTTCTTAAGGGACTATCACATGGTGATAAACTGATATATAACTTGATAGTAAGTAGGTACATACTTATGTTCTCTCATTTCTTGTATGTCTTCTTTGTTATCCTTAGATATAATCTGATCAGCCCTCTTGAGCTTCACTCCCCACAATGGATCTTCAGACATTTCAGGAAGAATTCTAGCAGGAAGATATAAGCTCTTAGGAACGTTTAAAGAAAGGCATTGTTTTGACTATTGTCGGAAGTTGAAAGAGTCCGGCTTCACATTCCTTACGTTAGGAGAAAGGCTTAAACAAGGATACCAGGAAACTTTTAGAAGATCTGACAATAATGTGTCTTTTAAGAAAAAAAAACTCCCATAAAATGCTTTGTTCACAATAACAAGTCTCAGGTTGCTGTTAATTCATGTGTCTTTTAGGCTTTATCACTCAATTAGAAAGGCACAGCCCATCTCTGGGAGAATAAAAGATATAGATGAAATTAATGTGTGGTATTGAAGTTATCTGTGATGGTCTAGTTATAGTTAATAATAGGTATCGGAATAGAACTGATCCAGGGGTGAAATTCAGCAGGTTCTGAAAGGTTCTGGAGAACTGGTAGCAGAAATTTTGAGTAGTTTGGAAAACTGGCAAATACCACTCTGGCTGGCCCCAGGAGTGGGGAAGGAATGGAGATTTTGCAGAATCCTTCCCCTGCTACACCCCGAGCCATGTCCACAAAGCGATAGGGGGGAAAAATTGAATTTCATGACTGAACTGATTCCCTTTGTTTCCTTTGTAGAAAGAAATCTTCAAACATGGCCCTCTGGCTGAACTGGTGGTAAGTAGTTTTTATTTATAAAGAAATTCATTTTTATGGCATATGAAATGGTTGGGATAGCATGATAGGAAGAGTCATATCTTCTCATGTCAGAATAGAGTTTTGGTACACTTTGTCTCCATTACAGAATGAACTGAGTGAGGAATATACATTGGAAATAATTGTAAGTAGTTTTTTGACCATCTTCTCTCTTTTTCATGTGAAATATCTTTCTTGCATGCAACTATACTTTTTAAAAATTTCTCACCTCCCAAACATCCCAGTGGCATGGGTTGAGTTGTAAAAGAAGGGCTTTAGGACTAAGGATGGCCTAAATCTTTTGGGGTATTTTGTCCCCTCCCCCCAAATGTTCTGAATCTAAGTTGATATTTCCACTACACTCTCTCTAGGGGGGCAGGTTACATGAAGCAGCACTACACTCTCTCTGGGGGGGGGGGTGTTACATGAAGCAGAATTAAAAAACAACATTCCATCATAAGGATGTCTTACCTATAAAGGTGTAGAACTAACGTGAATCTAAATTCAGGGAAGAAATCTGGATATTTAAGGCAAAAAAGAGTGTTATCTCCCAAGTGCCAGGTCTGGCTTCTCTTTTTTAAGCAATCTTCTATCTGTTCATGATTAGGTACAACCTTTATTAACTTTAGGTTTCTCAATACATATTTTGAATGTTGAAGAAAATTGAAAAAGTTAAAGAAGCCTCAGAACTTAATTCAAATGTGATTTTTGGATTTTAATTCAAATGTGATCTGTTTTTTGCTTTGTAGAATGCTTTGAATGGAAAAGACATTAATAAATTAATGGTAAGTAGCTCTTGTTTCATCTTCTGCCTTTTTGTTGAGTGATATTTTTCTCTGTTGTTCTAATGCAACCACTATATTATTCACCTGTCTTAAAATCACACAAAAGTAGTCCTTGATTTAGGACCACAATGGAGCTGCCCATCCTGGGTGTAAATTGTGACAGTCTTAATTGGGGTCACACACACGACTGACCCAATTTTATGTCCTTTTTTATGGCGGTCATTAAAACTATTTTGCTTAAGGGGGTCCCTGGGATGCTATAAATGACTACACCTGTGAGCTGATTCCTGATTTCCTGACATACAAGCACAGGGACACAGGGCGATGGTGGCATTGGAATTTTTGAACTGAGTCCTAAATATCTCCAGGGCACAGCCATAACTTCAAATGGGGGCAATCAAAGATTGTAGTGATGGCATAGTTGGAGAAATCATGTGTTGTATCTTTCCAAAATAAAAGTAATACCTTTTGTTTCTTTTACAGAACATAGGTAAAGGTGAAGTTAAAAAATCTGAGATAATAGTAAGTAGATTTTTCTCATGTGTCATGATTTTTTGTGTGTAATATTCTTCTTGCATGCCATAAAATATACCTTTTATTATTCATATCTCCTGGAATGCCATCTTCTTTTACCATCTTCAGAGACTTTGGAGAAGAAACTAAGCAGGCAGGGCCAAATATTTCATGTGAAGCAGCTTCAAATAACTATTATAAAAAACACTGACTCTTTAACTGGAGTGATGGATCCCCTGGGTTCTGAATAGCAAAGGAGAAGCATATATTTTGGAATTGTCCCCAGGGGACATTTTGAGGATGGGGAGTGTTTCCCCACAGTTTTTCTATTACCAACTTGTGGTTCTTCTCTTTGCAAAATGGTAGATTGTTGGCTCAAATGGTCTTTCTGTCAGATGCAATTTTGATAGTGAGTTGCCTTTCCTCATTTTGCTTCCCAGGATTAATTTTATCAGAATTTGCTCTGGAAACCAGCTTCACTTTGTTCTCCATGAAAAAGAATAATGGATTTTTGGAGAGGTTCTAAGATTTTGCTAATTTCCTTGACTTAGCTTGCCTTGAAGGGTTGATGTGGCTTTAAGTACCCTTCTCTGGTGTTGTGAGGCCATTCACATCAATATGCTCTGTGGCCTTCAAGGGCTCACCAATTTATTTTAGTAGTCTGTAGTGGCCCAGACAAGGTCCACAGGTATCGTACACTGGAACAACTTCTAAAGGAATCCATAATGGTTTTCTTCCTCCTTATAGTCAATCGGAAAGAAGATAATACCTATTATCAAGAAAGTTAAGGATGACAAAGGTGTGTCTATACTGATGGTAAGTTGTCTAATTTCTTCTATGTTTTCAATGTTATACATCTGAGATAGGTCCATAGTAGTCCTCTGGAGACTGCTGGAGACCCCTCCCCTACCCCCCGTCCCCTCCGAAGGATTTACAGACATTTCAGGAACAATTCCAACAGGAAACTAAAAACTCTTGGTTATATTTGAAGGAGGATAATATTATCACTATCGTCAAGACCAGGCTTGAGAGATTCTGGCTTCATAGGCCTTTCCTGTGGGGAAAAAGTCAAGAAACTCCATCAATATTTGTAGTTTTCCTGAAGGTGTCTGTTTGGCTTTAATCACTCTATGTTATGATAAGAAATGCATGTTTCTTATCTGAGTAATGAAATTATAATTATAAAAATATGATACGTATATCTAATATTGAAATAGGCAATGACAGCACGGAGAGAGAAGTCGTGTGTTTTTAGATCAAGGATGTCAAAGTTTATTTCATTGAGGGCCACATCAGAGTTTTGTTTGATCTCAGTGGGTCGGGTGGGCATGGCCAGTTCGATGTCACTTGTGTCAGGGGTGCCTGTGCCAGCCCGAGGGCTTTGCCAGCAAAAATACGCAGCTCTCCGCTCTGTTTTCGCTGACAGAGGGTTGCATGAGGCCGTCGCCAGAGGTGGGGGTCTGCCCAGATCAGACACACCGGCAGTGGTGATGGTGGGAGGCTCTGCCCACCCGCCCGGATGCTTCTGCGCAGCACATGAGCGAATCGGTAGTAAAATAAATTGCAAACCCACTACTGGCTCTTGCAGCCGAAAATGGAACTCAGGGGAGCAGGTGCAGCCCTTCTGACCTATGTTTTCACTGGTAGAGGCACCGTGGGCCAGTCCTTCGCCGTTTTCAGGGTGGCCCTGTGAGCTGGATCTGCCCTGTGGGCCTTGGATTTGACACCGCTGTTTTATATTATTGGATTATTGGAAAGGAGCCATTTCCTTGGATCACAGCAGATGTTAAATGCTGCATCTCTCTGTTGATATTGCCTATTTCTCTTGATTGGGATGGCTTCATCTACTCTGCTCAAACAATCCCATTGACATCAATACCCTCTGTAGTTCTCACCGACCCACTCTTGATTTGAACCAAGAGCAGTGGCACACAAATCCTCACAGGTTTCACAGCCACATCATAATTATAAAGGTATGCTTTTGTTCCATTTTAGAGACTATTTACTGATGATGAAGATGAAAAAACTGTAAGTAGCTCCTGTTTATTTATTATCCTTGCTTTCTTTCATATTCTTCTTTGATCTGAACAAGCACCCGTTTTATCTTTATTCTGCCTAAAGCAAAAGCATCCCAGAACATTCTCACAACAGGAAGAGCCAAAATATTCGTCCAAAGCAGTGGTGTCCCAGAACTGCCACGCCCCCAAACCAGTTCCCCAGTCCCCGCTGCCACTGTCATTTTGTTTTTGTGTTCTGCGCATACGCAGAACAATTTTAAATGAACTGCACGAAGCGTGCGGACAAGTGAACTGGCAGTAAAGCCGTCCAGATCCCACCCCTGGTCCAAAGGCATCTATAACACAGGATGTCTGTTCTTTCTCCTACTTGTAAAAGCAGAACTGGTCCAGGGCTGCAATTCTGGTTCTTCCTGCACACCTTCCTTCCCCTGCTATGTTGGGGGGATTATCCTCAGCAGAGGCCGAAGCCACTTGGAAAGGCTGATACAAGGCACATGTTGCGGTTGGCTGATTCAAAAGTCAGTGTTGTGCTTTGCAGTAAAGTCATTGGCTGAGTTCATCATTTTGTGTCTTCCAGAATCTCCCTTACCATCAGCTTGTCCCTGGCGGACTCCATCCTGGGATGTCTGTATATATGCAAGGCACAGTGCCCAAACACAGGAACAGGTAAGGTTTCTTTGGGGGCTCACAGAAGGGCAAGAGCTACCTAACTGAAAATAATAGCCATAAATTTATTATGTCGAGACTAGATTATATTATCCAGTTGCATGCCAAAATTAAACCCTTTCTTAATTTTTTTTATAGTTCCTCCTCCTGCTTTTTCTAACTCCAAGTAAGCCTCAATAGTTAGGAACTTGATTCTTCTCTTAAACAAACAAGACAATCTCTTAGAAATACTAGCTTCAAGACAAAGGAGAGGAGGGGGGGAGAACTTTACTCTTTCCTGCACCTCCCATTTAATTTTCTGCTTGTCTTTTCCTCTCTCTCTCTCTCTCTCTTCCAGCACTTGGGTGAATTTCCAGCTGGACTTTGCCTGTGGCCACCATAAGGAGGCTGATGTTCCCCTCCACCTCACGCATCACATCAATGCAGAGACATT